TTAGAATCTGTTCTACCACCCGTGAGTCAGGAAAGTTCTCTCTTAGCAGCCTTATTTTGTTCACAACATCCATCAACTTAGACGCGTGCTGTCTCACCATCTCATCTTCTCTCATCCGTAACATCACAAACTCCGCTTTTAGTTTCAGCAGCTTTGTTCTCCTGCTTCTGGTACCACCTTCAAATTCTTCTCTGATTTTGTCCCAAGCTAGCTTGGGAGTTTTTTAAGGCATGATCCTACTGAAAACCGTGTCTGAGATAGCTGAGTGAATGCAAGCAAGTGCACGAGGTTTCTTCATAAGTTCCTCTTCATGCCTTTTGATCTGAGTTAGGGACATAGTGCCCTGCAATGGAGGTGGCTCAGTGTCGTTGAGAACCACATCCTAGAGATTCAAAGATTGCAAATGAATCTCCATTTTCAGTGCCCAAACATGATAATTTTCGCTATTGAAGTGTGGAGGTGCAGATGAACCAGAACAGGTTGCCATTTTTGTAACGGGTTTTGGGATTTTTAGATTGGTGGGTAAGCTATATTCTTTTCACATATCCCTCAAGACAAGAGGCTCTGATACCATGTAGTATTTTTACATAGTAAATTGCTGTATGCAAAAGCTATTTACGTAGCTTTTGTAGAGAGAGAAAGTAAGAGAGAGAGATGGCACCGAAACAGAGTGCAACCCTGCAAACGCCTCTGTTTCGGTGCTTAGTTGATTTTTGAAGAAGCCAATTGAGGAAAAGGTCTGCACTTTTCATTTATATTTGCATGGCTTAAATAAGTCAGTTTACAACCATAAATCCTATTTTTTCGTGCAAGTTATAGGCTTGCAATTGAATTCAAATTCTACCCTATCTGATTACAATTAAATTCAAAACTGAAATTTAAAATTCAAATTTAAGCTGATAAGAATAAATTTTAACTGATTCTTAATAATCTAACACTGTACAGATTGTTTGTGCTTCCAATATTGTGCATAGAAAAGACAAATCAAAATTTTATGATATTTTTATTGGGTCTGGCTTCTGACTAACAAATATCAACTTTTCCTTGAAATTTAAAACTTTATTGGTCTGTCAAGATTCGAGATCTTATAAGAGACTAAATTAAATTTCCAAACATGCTGAACTAATTGCATCTTATTCCGCTACAGACATTATACTCCCAGTGTTCCCCAATAAAAGGAAAAAGAGACAATGCGCTACCAGAGCTTAATTACAATTTTGCAAGTAGAAAATGGCTAATTTAACAATATCATCAAACTAATTCGACAACAAACAATTTCCATAAAATTTTATTGGAGATGCCGAGAAACCCCATTTCTCAGCAACTGATTAACAGTTTTCTTCCCCCGTAATGAGCTAAAGAAGACAAAAGCAAGAAAAAAAAATCATTACAAGCTAAATAAACATAATAATATTATTCGACAATCCATAGTATCATAACTCGGTAATGATCTAGCATCGTAGATACACTGCCAAAAGAATTAAAATTTACCAAAAAAGATTTCAAATTGA